CAGTCACATGGGCGGCAAGCCACTCCCACAAAAGAGGCCACACCCAGAGTAGGTTCGAACAATTTTTGAAACCCACCACTGGTGTGTGACAACATCACCGGGCAAATGCTGTGACATATGTACTACTATCACTGGGATGTAAGTGTATAACTGCTGCTTTACACACAGATTCCGTCATCACACGTATAATTATCTTAATATCGCTGTAATGCTCCAGATGTCATTAAACTTTAAGTGACTCTAATACTTAATCATGAAAGGCAGAATTAATCCTGATTAGAAAAAGCAATTTTGTTATAAATACAAGTTTAGCCAATTGCGTCTCATTTGCTGAAATGTCATTTACTGTAAATAACTAATATCAACAAGATGAGTCAAATTTAGCTTCTTGGAAGATTCGGGGCCATTTAACAGATTCTTGAGAAAATGTTTGTTACAAAAACTAGTTTAATCCTAAATGCTAGGAAATCTAAGATTCTAAAAAGTCAGTTAGAAACAGCACCCACCCCAAGATGTTAAACTGAGTAAATGCTGAGCCACGATAAAGGTTTACTTGCCCTCTAAATCTTGGTCGTATCAAAACCTAGGAGCTGAATTAAAATGTATAAGATTAAGGCTAAGGCCATCAACAGCTGTGGAAAGTCATACTTTTATTCTGTTGAAAAAAAAGGATTTTATGCATCAAGAAATAAGACAAATGCAGCACAGGGAAGCTATGAGACCGTTAAGAATGTATGACAATATCATAGGTCACTCATATTTTAACCATAAAATATGATGAATGACCCCCAAACTGTAATAAACCCTCACCAAATAAATGTAAATCTGCTTATATGTCTCCAAAATTGCAGAGTGGTGCTTAAAGCAGCCTTCCCTAAACTGATGCTTCCAAATCAGTTGGCATTGCTCATATTGATCAAATGGGATAGCAATCCCACCCAAATGGAAAGCACTAGATTGGAAATATTAAACCAAAGGGTCAATATTCTTATGTTGTAGCATGGATTTACACTTTTCTTCCCAGTTACATTTGTTCATTCAGACCTACCAGTGTCACCAGTCTAAATCTGTCACTGATTCTTCAGCAATATATCCATACGTTGGCAAAACTATTTTAGTACTGAATGGATATATGTGGACAACATTTCTGCGCCACAAATGAAACTTTTGACCCAAAGGTTCATGAATTTGCTTGCAAAGTTGGTTTCCTTTCCTACAGGTCCTATATATCAAATGCCTTTTGCTACCTGTTCTCCAGTATGGATCCGTATGACCTCCAAAAAAGGCCATTTAAGATAATATATGTAAAAAAAAAATCCATGATCCGTCAAAACCGCGGTCCACTAAAGCGCGCTCGATTAAAGCGCATACCTGACATCATCAGCAGCGCGACAAATACGACCGCGGGAAAAAAAGGGCGCTTTAAAA